ACCCGCCTGCCACCATACCACAGCGGTCAGGGTTTAGCTTAGTGCTCAGCGTGACCCACGGTACCAACAGCCAAGGTCTGCGTTACCCTGCCCCTCGGGAGGGGGCTGTGGGGGCTCTCCCCGCTGAGCAAAAAAAAAAAACCAAAGCCTTTTTCCAAAACGGCCACTTGCTAACACGTTCCTTCCCGTCCTTCGGTCGTGACTGATGCAGCTCAACGCTACTGAAGGGTGGTGAAACGCTGGCAGGGGTTGCCCAGAGAGGGGGTGGAGGCCCCATCCCTGGGAACATTCCAGGCCAGGTTGGCCGGGGCTGTGAGCAACCTGCTGTGGTTCAAGGTGTCCCTGCTCCTGCAGGGGGGTTGGGCTGGGTGACCTCTAGGGGTCCCTTCCCACCCAAACCATTCTGTGATTCTATGATACTGAAGCAAGCGGGGCTTGGATCTCACTCCTCATCCTCCCACCCAAACACATGCTGTTGGCCAACAGATGCCACCGGGACACATCACCGATACCAAATCGTCGCTGAACGAGGACAGCAAACGCAGCTCCAGCCCGAGCGGAGGAACAGCAATTGCGTTCCCTGGTGCTTGGCTCAGTTTAAAGGAAAAAAAAAAAAACCAACCAAACCAAAAATCACCTGGGAGTCCATTCTGCAACGACTACATTCGTTCTTAGAAGGAGGAATTATAAATAGCTCAGGACAATTTTCTTTTTAAAAAAAAACAAAACCCCAGTGAGCGCCCCGGGGCTGTTGTCAGGGTTACCAGCCCTGGTGTCAGAAGTGCATCCTCAGGCCCCAGATTTCCAAGGAGCGCAAGAGCCGCTGCTGGCCAGGCTTCAAGGACGCCCGAGGGGAGGAGGTCAGGCCCTCCTGTTTGCCAGCGACTGGAACGAGTCACGTACGTCCCCAACACTGGAGGGAGAAAAAATATTTTTCTCTGCAAAGAACTTATTGGAAAGCGGTGCCGGCACCCGCGGGTCTCTCCGGAGGGGACGGGACACAGCACCGCTGTGTCAAGGGCACTAAAACAAAGTGTTCTTGCACAGAACTGGCTCATCCCAAGCTCCTGGCGGATTTCTTCCCTGCCTCCCTGTGCCGCGGGCTGAAGCAGCAGTGCCCTGATGCCGGGACCAGGCTCCCCGCCTTATTGCAGGTGTAAAATGTTGCGTATACACACACCCACAGCCTCCAAGAGCGAGGCTGTTCTAGACGGCGGCTTGGGCTTCAGCCCCGCTGCCCGCATCCTCTGGAGCGGGCGTCTTCAGGCTTCGCTGGCCAGGCACGGTGGAGGCTGCTCGGCCCAGATTTCGGTCCAGTTTCTGCTGCTCTCCTCACCTACTGGTCCCCTGCACCGAGGGCTTCACGTTGCTGGTGATGCTGGGAGCAAATGGGCCCTGCCACGTCCCGCATGGGGACGCCTCTCATGTCCTCGCTGCAGGAAGGGTGGGCAATGCCCCTTCCGTCGGGTCGGTGCGCGGGGGCACTCAGAACAAGTTTCCAGCAAATTTGTGCACCGGGAACCCTGCATGCAGATGGAGGAACCATACCAACTCGCCCTGAGCCCAAAGGGGCTATGGAATTCCCACACCGCCACGGGACAGGGAAGCTTCCTCTGGAAATCCCGGCCATCACAGGAGGCTCAGAAGCATTAGTTCAGCCTTGCAGGTAAATTTGGTGGAGAAAGCCTGAAATGGACTGGGGCTACTGGTGCATCCAAGGGAAGTCCAACATTCTCCTTCATAACTGCATGACCTGAGCGCCATCACTGACCCTTCAAGGCCCCCTCAAGGCAACTATTTGCCTGAGAAAGATAGAGCCAGAGAGGTACTTTTTCCACTGAACAAACTAAGATCAAGCTCCTCTTTGTTCCCCAGTTCTCTTCCCATAGCCCATGTCACGCTGTCCCTCTTGAGGACAGACAGGGACCAAGAACATGACCAAAAACTGGGCTTGAAATAGCACACCAGACGCAAGCAGAATAATTATCATTAACGCCGCCATCCTTCCACCCAGTGGACTGCGAGCAGGTCTGGAAAAAAAATAAACACACACATCGAAATCCCTCCCCGCTCATCAAATCAACAGGTCCAGCTGCTGGCTGGTAGACCTCAAACGCTACGTTCAAAAGCTGACGAAGTTCCTAGGCAAAGGCCCCGACGTTTATCACATCTGGCTACTGGTGGCCCAGAGGGCAGCTGGCCAAGCCGGCTGGAACACGATTTCACTGCCGCAAAGCGAGCGCCTACCGGAGAGGTCCCAAGCCACAGCGAGCAAGCTGATGTTTTCAGGTTACTGCTGCAGCGGGGAGGACGGGCCGTACCTGCCCTTCCAGGTTGAACCAGCAACTCAAGACGTGCCCCCATGCTGGGAATTATCGGCCAGAAGAGCTGGCAGTCCTTTCCTCGGTGACAGAAATACTGTACACGATCAGCTGTTGGCTTCAAGTCCCGATGCAAGGACTGCGTTACTCGGGAGCGTGGAGAAGCACCCACCACACAGCAGGACATGCAAAGAGGCTGCCCGGAGCAGAAGGGAAAGCTCTCATTGTCTGCCAGCCTCTGTGGCTTGGATTAAAGGAAACTTCTGCTCCCCCTCCATAATGTTGTTACCACCTGGTTCGGTGAAATTCAGCCCCTTTGACAACCAGGAATCAAGCCACGCACCAGGCAAAGGCAAGCTGGGCAAGCCAAGGAGAGCCTTCCCTTCAGGAACGTCATTCCCGACACTGAAATGGCCACAGACGAGCCCAATTACCTATTCATTTCAAGATCATTCAGGCGAGCGGAAAGATCCTCGAGGCGGTTGATTTGTTTGTGGCACTGGCTACAGTAAAACTCAAACGCTTCGTCTGCAATAATGCTGTGCAGTTTCGCAGCGAGCGGGTTGGTGCTAGAGAAATCACAAGGGTCATTTTAACAGGACAGGACAGGACAGACGGGGCTGATTTAAGTCCGTGGCTTCCACAAGCTGAGCTTACATTGGGGCAGGGGAGCTTTCGGTAGGAGATAGATGACTTGCAATGAAAACTTCAGGGCAAATGGGTCACCTCCCCCCTCGATTTTAGAAGCCAAATCGCAGTCAATTCGGAGTTGCTGTAAATTAGCAGGACTTCCACCACCCTCCTCCTCCCAGACTTACAGCAGCTGAGCCTGGCTTATGTTTCCAAACCCCTGTGTGAGCCAGCCCTTGTGGAAGACACCCCCCCCGCCCTGAGAGCCCAGGGAAGGCAAGCTGTGCATTTTCCACAAACTTACGCGATGACAAAGTTTATTTTCCAACATGATTTTCCCAAGCAACCTGTCCCAGGAGGCTCTAGCAATGGCCCTGGTTTGCCTCGGTAGATGCATACGTAACTCATGCCTCACCGGACCGGGCACCAAGAGAGACAAATCCTTTGGTTGGCTGCACCGTTTTCCAAGGGGATGCTTTAAAAATAGAGCATCTGTGCTGCTGCGGACCCTCCGTTAGTAACGCCCGGTCGGATTTTCATTGCAAAAGCTCAAAAAGGGGATTGGGATTCAACCGCTGTCTCCTCTGTCTCATTGTAGGGAACATCATTTGGCCAGGGGCTGCAGGGTCTATGGGACTTAAACAGCCTGGGGAGCTAATGGCTCCAATCAACGTTTCATTTTCAGCTGCTGATGTGGAAAAAAACTGCCAAGGCATTCACCGACGCTTGGCAAACCAGGGAGCCGTTTGCCCCACCTGGCACGACTTGGGGGGGGACAGAGTTTGGCCAAGGGATTCTGAACAGCAAAGAGTTTGGGTTGCTTTGGGGCCAAATAGATGCCACAGATCTTTTCTGGGGGGAAACACGCTTCTGGAAGCCATGGACTTTAATCAAAGAAAGGTTAATAGTGAAAAAACAAAGCAGTTCAATAAGAGAGACAGGTAAAGGTGTGAGCAAACACAAGCAAGCTTAAAACCAAAAGGCATCTGAAAGGGCTGGTCGGCCCCGTGATACAGATAAACACTGGCAAGTCCTGGCCCGGGAGATGCTGACGGCGTGGGACACCCCAAGAGGAGTCCCCTGGCTCAGCACCTTTGCATAACCCCTCTGACGGTTTTTTTTGGTGGCAGGGGGGCGTCAGCAGCCCAGCCACCCCCAGGGTCAGGCCTCTGAGTTTGTGCCGTCTGTACAGTATTTCCAGGCCCCCTTAGAACAAGTAACTGGCCAACAGTAAACACCGAATTGCTCATCTCTTCCCATTCCTGGAAAAAAAAATAATTGAAAAACATTCCCCCTACTCTCTAGGCAGGTTTGGACCCAGGATAATCATTATGCACCGGCAGACAGTTCAGTTGCTCAGGCTTTGCACAGGGTAGGAGGCGACGGAAGCTTTGTGGCACCTGGAAGAAGTGAGGTGCCCTTTTCTGGGCTCTGCCCCCAGGCCTGGCTCCACGTGAGCCCCCTTCAGCAAATCCTCACCCCTGCCGGGAGGCAGAACCAGCTCACGCGGCTGGGCACCCCTGGGTGAGGTGTGAACCCGAATCTTAACAAGCATTAATCAAAAGGGGAAAAGAAGTGCAGAGGAGAGCCCACAGGCCAGCCTGGCAACTCTTCGGGTACATACAGGTACACTTGGCCTCTGGCTGCGTTGGTTGCTTGCCCGTCGAGTGGGCGAGAGCTCAACCGCACTGCGCCTCGGGGCGTCCCCACCTACCCCTCGTGGCACGCTGCCACCCTCTGCGCCATACGCAGCCTTCCCGCCTCCTTTCTCCATCTCGTGGAGCAACGTTCGTCTTCCATAGGTCATCGGCGCTTACCGACGAGCGCGTCGGCAGCTGAAACGGCCGCGTGCAAGGAGCTTCCATTCATTTCCCACCAAGCGTTGCAGAGATACTTCTCTGACCAGACGGACGTGCCAAGGAAGAGGTAGCCACCCAAGGGGAGGGATCTCAAACGCGCACGCAAGGACTAAGCAGGAAAATGCAACACCCCATAGCGTTCCCTGAAGGCTTTTGGTTCTTGCATTAGTTCTCTGGTGAAAAGCCGGAGCTGCGGCAGGAAAATTTGTTGACGTTATTCCCACTTAGAGACTCTGGTAACATGGAAAGGGTGCGTGGCGATGTGACCGTTTCCAGGCAATACTGTTCCTTGTATTGAAGCCACAGCCAAAAAAAAGAAGTTCAGCCTGAACCAGAGATAGTCTGTACTTCTGCAAGGCTTCACTACATTTAAAAGCACTGGGGAGGCAGGGCTGTGTTCAGAAAAACAGCACAATCTCAGCGAACGATCAGCTAAGGACCTTCACGCACGCAACGGTAACCCAAGGTAAGGGCTAGACCTGAAAGGCATGAGGAAATACTCGGTTTCAAACAGAACCGCACTCTTAACTCTGCAGGCTTTGCAGGGTTTGTCTGCAGCTTCCCGAGCAAGCCCCAGCAGTGCTTCTCCAACATCACCCCCCCGAGCTGCGTGGCCACGGGCCGAGCGAGGCCCTCCCAGCAGAGGAAAGATGCTGCAGAGCATGATCCCGTGGATAAGATCCAAGAGCAGAAGAGGGGAGACAGCGCCCTGGCAGAGCATGATTTGAACACTGGGAAGCGTAGGCAACCTGGGAGCTCCAGGCTGATATTAAAGAAAAAGTTTAACTGATTGCACGGCCCCTTTAGCTGGGTGTTTTCTTGCCAGGAGCCTTCTGGACTAGGTTGGAGGCCCATACTCAAACAGAAACTCAAAATGAACACCAAGGCTGGTTTTTATCAGAGAGCACTCTCTATGTGGCAGCACCAGTACAGCCAGCCAGACTCAGCATTTCTGCACAGTGCAATCGAAGGACAAGCGTGGACGCGTGGCAAGTCCCTTCTCCAGCAGTGCATCCCATCCCACCAAGCGCTGGAACGCTGGTTTCCTGAGGTAATGGGTTAGGCAGGCTTTACAGCAACACTCTCCTCTTGCAGGTTTAGTTGACAACTTCAGAACTGCTGCTGCCCCAGCAAAACAGAGTCAGCCCTGACCTGCAGCAAAGCGCGTGCCTGGAGATTTGACAGCAGCTCTTCCCCCACCAGCCCTGTGCAACCAGAACTGCCCAAACTCTGCGAGGGGCTTTGGGAAGTGGGTGGGAAACAGGCAGACAGCAAAAAAAACCCAAAATTCCAATGGGTTTATACTGCTGCAGAAACAAACACCTATCATCCCAAAGGAAAAAAAGTACGTTCCTGTCCGCAACGCAGGCGTGTGGCTGGCAGGGACCACTCCTGCCTTGTGCCTGGTGGAGGAGCACATCCCTGGTGTTACCGGTCATCGCAGAGACTTTGTGGGCTGCAGCAGTGGTTGATCATTCCAGCTTTTACTTCGTTTTCCTTAGAAAGTATTGATGGGTTCTGTACTGTCATACCAGCTCCTCGGTTCATCCTGCACAGGCTAGCAAACCAACGTTTGCCTGGTTTCAGACGCTGATGCGAGGAGCACAGGAAAATGCTACAGCCTGCTTCTTGCTCCACGCATCCCTCGGGCTGCCCTGAGAAGGAAGGTGGCGGCCGCCTGTGCACATCCAACCGAGCATCCCATCAAAGCCAAAAGTACAAGCACGGGAGAGAAAAGAAAAAACTTGTCATCCAACAGGACCAGGGATAGTTTTCTCTACCCGAAGGTTCTGCAAGGAGCCACATCCCTAGCGGGAGCGGGAAGGCAACGCTGTCCTGGACGCATGTGAGATGCAGGCTGCTCTTCTACCTGCTGCCGGGCATGAGCAGCGCTGGGTGGGAGGGTGGGCAGCATTCGGGAAAAGGAACGCCTGAGGTGGGCAACTACTCTTCCCCTTCCGAGCCGATTATCCCGTTGCATCCCAGGTTTGCCAGGGACCGCCGTCCTGCAGGCAGACTGGTGTGCAAACCCCACGGAAACAACTCTCACACACCAAGCCTAGGCAAAGACACCACGCAAGTGAAACCGGTGAAAACACGGCCAGCGCCGGGCTGAGCATTACCTGGGAGAGAGGAACGAGGAGCTGTGAAAGCTGCTTTCCCCATTACACAAGCTGTCCGAGAACAAATCTGCTTCATTCCCTTCTCCGTAATCCTCAAAATGCTCCTCTCCGCTAATGACCGTAACGATGGAGTGGCTGAGGTCCGAGCCCAGGGGCAGGTCGTGGGGATGGGATCTGTGGGAACAGAGGGGAAGACGTTAGAGGGTGGCCACCGCAGCAGCCTTTCCAGTTGCGTCCAGCACCGCTTTCCCAGTCACGTCTCCCATTTTGGCAGACCAGGTTAGCTCTTCCTTACAGTGCAATTCACCCTGTGCCTCGAACACTGGAAGGGCAGCCCAGGCACCACCGGGAAGTTTGCACCAATCTTTTTTTTTCCACAACAAACCAATGCTTTTTCATGCAAGCTCCCCTGGCAGCTGCAACATCAGATTTGGGGGGAGGGGGGGGGGCGAGCAGACTTGCAAAGACAGTACCCAGGGTCAGCGGCAAGCCCTTGCACAGCACAGGGGCAACCAAAAGCACGGCAGAGAAAAAACTCAGCACATCCCAAACACACCCTATACAGGTTTTGAGTTACACCGCCAGCCTATGTGCTGGGCTCACGCTCACTTATTGCTGTATAATCCTATCAAGAGCCCAGCACCGGGGTTTTACACCGTAACCAAGGAGCCCTTCCCCTGCTCCTGCTGGGAAAATGCCGCACGCGCTGGTGGCAATCTCGGAGGGGACAATGCCGTTTCAGGCGCGTTAAGCCTCAGCCTAAACCCTGAGCGCACCCAGCACAGGTCCTGGGAGGCCCCTTGCTTGGGAGGGGACACGGCTCAGCGCCGAAGTCACCGTTTCCGCAAGCGCCTTTTCACGTGCGCAGCGTGGCGTGAAGTCCGGCCGCCCCAGCGGCGCGCGCCCATCTCAGGGGACTCTCCTGCCCAGGGCTACGGAGGTTTTACAATTAAGCTGGAGGGAAAAGGCAGGGGGGGATTTGTAAGAACCAAAAAAAAGCCCCCCCTGAGTCTGTGAAGCACAGGTATGTGTTTTGGCGGGGGGGAACACACACACACACACACACACTAGCACCGCTCTCCTCTCCAAAATTCAATGCTAAAAAAAATTAAAAAGATTGCATTGTTATAAAAACTGGCATTTCAGGTTACGCCCCCATCTTCATCCACTTGCTAGGAGAGGGAAAGGGGGGGTATGACTAGATTGCTGTATAAATCAGAAAGAAAAAAAGATTACAGATAAGCCATTTATAACAAAAACCTGCACCATCTGAAGGATTTGCCTTTATCCCACTAATAAAACCACGTCAGCCCTCCAGCCAAACCAGCAGATCTCTATTTAACCACGGATGAGTCCAGTCCAGCTTGTGGGCACCCGCACATCTTCCTGGTACGCCTGAGAAGCGCCGTGGTTCCATCAGAAACCCGGCCCCCCCGCCCCCCCAGCCGTGAGTCACACGCTGCACCCAGCAGACCGTTGCCGAAAGCATCGGAAATCTCTCCAGGAATAGAAGGCAGGGGGTGGAATTTTTAACTTGCAAGCAAAAGCCAAGCCCAAATCTCTAGATCTGGGGCTGTGGTTTGCCAAGCACTGTCCAGAAGCAGATCTGATCGGGCACCTGGAAGCCAGGGATGCTTCGGGCAGTCAATGCTATCAGTATTTCATTACACACCTATCGGGGGCTCTGGCAGTTCTAAGATCCGGGATCCAACCAATCTTTACTGCACACAGCCTAAATAACCACCTAAGCTCAAACCACCTAAGGTAAGCTGAGCTTTAACAGCTCCTGGAAAGCAGCGTGGAAGCTTTGATCCAGTCCACCAGCTGCGCTGGGTCGGATTGTACTTACTGAGTCTCCTGGAAGACCTCTAGGCACTAAAGGTATAAGAATATTGTCCTGCCTAGGGTTTGATGGCACCAAAACCAGCCCTCAGCGACTTGGGAAGAGAATTCCAGAAGTTTCCATCTCTGGATCTTTAAGCCAAATGAACTTTTTCCTTGATTTTTTTGCCTAACTGGAATTTGCGCCCATTTATCGCACCTGGCCACAGGCACCGCTCTGCTTGGCCACAGCACCCAGAAGCCACCCAACCTTCCCAGGCCCACGCTGGGAGTCACAGGGAAGCCTCAAGAATAACCCCATCTTAAAAAAAAATTCCCAAGCGAAGTATTTGGTACCTACAGGCAGGTGAATCCAAGGCACGGCATCTTCCCCAGAGGACGAGAGCGCACGCAGGCTGCCATGGCCCCTCCGCGCCGTGGTCGGGGAGCTCAGCAACCGATTAGATCCCGATTTAACTGCCACGGAGCGGAACGCGCTCAGGCGGGGAGAGCCTGGCCAGCTAATCTCATTTCTTCCCTAATCCACAGCACCCTTTCAGCCCCGGCACTGAGCGCCCGGTAGCACTGAGCGCTCGCTGCGTCTCTGATGTCCCCAGATGTGATTTTTGGGGTGGGAGGGAAGCCTGGTGCTTTCTAAAAGCAACGGGAGCTGTAAGTACTGACCAGAGCACCAGGCCTGGGTGGTGTGATTTCGGCCAAAAAAAATTCTGTGCGTTCACAGACCTTGAGTGATGACGGTTCCAGAGGTTTCAGTGCAGACCGGTGCTCTTGGGTCACTCTTGAAGGTGTTATTCCCTCCCCTTTTGCCTTCCCAGCATCCCAGTTTCACCCCGAAACCCAACTTTTCCTGCAAAATCTAGGGAATGAGGCGGGCCCAGGAGCAGTTTCACCAGCAGTGGTTCAGACACGGGGACAAAGATCTCAGCTCACACTTCTGCGCTTCAGGCGCAAGTTTAAAACCAGTTATTACAGGAGGTGGCTGCACATCAAAGGGCACACGCGTGTTTAGGAAAAACAAGAATATGATGAGTTCTCCTCCCGACTTGAAAATTACATGTTGCGTTTCTGGCTGAAGTGATAGATTAAAAACTGCAAGTATTTCAGGTGTTTGGATCAACTTACTTTAGAGGTTAAAGATGCTAATGAGGGTACAGAGGTTGTCCCAAGGCAAGCAACAATTAACTCCAAGAGATTGCCAGGCTGGGCTCCAAAACAGCCTACACATGGCACAGTCTAATTATCATCATTATTCTTAAGAAGAGCTATTTTGGTCTTGCACAAAGTTAATACAAAGAACAAACCAACCAGTTTCAGCAAGACAGACTCAGCCCACTTTATTTTAAATCCTCAGGCTGTGTCTCCCTCGGTCCTCGCCCACTCCCTGCTTGCCAGAGTTTCCTGCCCCACACGGCGAGTTTTGCTCCTTGCCGTCCCCGCTCACCCATGCTCCGGCTCCTCGATGGGATCCGTGAACTCCGAGTGCACGGTGGAGTCGATGGCACTGTCCGTTTCTACTTCGTCGTGCATCTCGTGGTGTACTAGTGTGCTGGTGTCTTCATCCGTGAAGGTTTCGCACTCGCTGTAGGTGCTCTCTGAGCCCATGTAAGCGCTGTCAGTCACCTCATTTGCCTGTTAAAAAAACACAAGAGGGGAAAAAAAAAAAGATAGTATAGCTATGCGGTTTCATTGCAGAACAGGACAGCACTCATAGGGGGGAGCTGTTTACTGCTGCGTTGCATTTCCAAGCGCAGAAATCCAACCTCCTAAAACCAGCCTGAGCCGTACCCCACGTCCGGGTGCTGCTCCGTCTCCAGGTCGGAGGACCAAGCGCCGCCCCGGGGTGCACCATGGCCTTCGGGCCGCGCACGCTTTGCAACAGCAGTGTTTGGAAAGCAGATTACAGAAATCTATAACTAAGTAAGAGTTGGAGGGAGATTTTGCTGTGAGCAAGTATGGATTTGTCGAATCCAGGAGGGATTACCCACTGCTTACTCAGCGGTTCTGATCTCTGTGGCTTTCACCCACTCCCGTTCAAAAGGACGCATTATTAACCTGAATTCTCTGCAAAACCCACCACTCAGAACTACCAGCTAGTCCTTAGAGCACTTTTTCCCCCCCCTGTCCAGTAATATGAGGGCACCTTCCACCCCTCGACAGAAAATAAGCGGGTTTATAAATCTTCATCCCAGTTCTAATTTGCAGGAACTGCATCAGCAGGACACGCAAACCTCCGTGCTTCAGCTGCGGCAGCATCTTGACTATTTTGCACGACTTCACCACATCCATGACCTGCAGCAGGCTCTAGGGAAGAAGCACCATTTGGTTTTTAAGACAGCATGCTACGAGCATACAGGACGGGGTTCTTCCTCCCCGTTCTGCCCGAGGCAGGTCCTGCCCAGCTGCTGGGGCAGGGATGCTCCTCCCTGGACACACAGGGCGCCGAGCCTAGAACCGTCCCCGTGTTCGGAGGGGAGCAGGGAGAGCTCTAGAAGAAACACCCCCTCCTAAAGCAAAAGCTCTCGTTACCCAGCAAAGCGCCAGCTCATTTCCCAGCATGTATGGGATTTCCACAGCGCACCTCCGAACAAATCGCAGCATTTTTGGCTCTGGGATCTCAGTCGTGGTGGGATCTGTCAGTGCTGGCGCTGAGCTCCAGCTGATCTGCCGTCATCGGAGGTGTCGGGCAGAGGGACAGGAGCCCTCCTGCCTGGCCTCGAGGGAAAAGAGATGCTCCTGAACAGCCATTTGCTCCATCTGAAGTTCACCCAAGGGGATCAGACTTGCTCAGCTGCTGGCTGCACCCCCCCCAGCATGGCAGCAGGGCAAAGCAGCAAAGCACCAACACTGAAGCAAACCTCTCTTCCTCTGCCAGAGAGCACACAGAGCAGCTTTTCAGTGCTTTTTCCAAGGATTTTCAAGAAAATGAGATTTCTTCAAAGCCCTGTATTACAGCAGCTGGAAAGAAAATACACAGCCATACTGTCCTGGCGGGAGCAGAATGAAAAATCATGTTGGAGCTGTTCATCCAAAGCAGGGCACGTCTACGGCAGAATGGGAGAGTCCTGCTCATTGCTGCAGACGCTGCCCGCCGGCACGCGTTGTGTTTGCACAGCAGGAGAGCATCAGACACGAGACACAAACATCCCGCTGCCATCGCGTTGCCTAAACTTTGCAAACGCTGCTCTCGTTGGCCTGATTCTCCTCTTTTGGGTAGATACTCCGCAGCCTGGAGAGCTTCTCCAGCTTTCAGCGGTGCAAAGCGGCTCAAGACACAACCAGTGCCTCGTTTTGTTTCACCCATGAATTCCCAAGATGCCTCAACACAGGTGAGTCCAAAAAGGGACAGCAAGAACTTGTACAGGTGCTCTGAAAACCTTGAAGGGAGGGATGGAGAACTGCTCAAGGGTGGTTCCAGTTCTACATGGACACCGGGGAGCAGAGCAAAGCCACCGACTCAACACCCTTGCACCGAGCACACTTGGCTGGATGATGGATGGAGACAAGACAGGGGCCCCTCTTGCAAGCTTGGCTCAGCTTCCATGGACCCACGCTGACCTAGGGACGCCAGCATCTCTCTAGGACACCACCCTGAAGTTTAAACACGATGTAAACCTTCACAGCACCGGAGTCTAAAGTCAGCGTCAGGAGAAGACGGGGTTGTTCGAGTGATCTTGATTCAAAGGGAGGAGAAGCTGCTGCAGCAAATGGCATCCCTAGCAGAGGAGAAGGTGGCTTTCACTAGTCTTCCAGATAAAACCAAGAGCCTCCTAAACACCCCCACCACCACTTTAAAGAGCCTAAATCCAGCAAGACTACTTATACACCTAAAGCTGGGGCCTTGCTTAAGTGCTTTACTGGATTTACGCTGCACTTCCTAGAAACACCAGTTGGGCTCTTAATGCTCAAGCCGAAGGAAGATGAGGGACATCGGGAAGGGGAGCCTTGGTCTGCCAGCGCTGGCAGACACACGAGGACATTGCACCATCCCTGCACCGAGCCTGGCAGCTCCCCGGCCCCCAGAGGAAGGTGTGCGCGGGCAATTCCAGCGCTTTTCCAAGCGATCTGCAGCGTGCACCGAGTTTAGGAGAGGCCAGGCTTCGGCGTATCAGCCAACGTCGTGTTGCAACACTGGTTATGTTTTGCTTTGGGGGAAAAAACCCCCATCTCCATCCCGCAGCGCATGTCCCCAGCGCTCGCGGCAGCGATGGCGCTTCGTGCTGGACCGGCAGGGCTCTGCTGGGGGGGAGCGGCGGGGATCCGACGCAGCAGAGAGGGGCTGAGCGATGCGGCAGCCATCCACGCCTGCAGATTTACCTGCGTGCTTCAAAGGAATACTTTTTGCCTGTTTGAAAAGGATTTAATGCCCAACTGGAAATAACTTTGCTTGCAGACTCCAAAGTAAATGCTGCTGGTTTGGGGTTTTTTTAACCCATTCCTACTGGTAAAGCTTAAATTTCAGTATACGCTGAAGTATTATAAAGAGCACAAAGTAAAGACAACTACTGCAAAAAAAAACCCAAACCCAACGAACCTCAAACCAGAAGTAAATTGATTAAAACCCACCCTGTTGTGGTTCTGGCCCTCTCAACACAGAGCGTGCCCAGGACCTGAGCAGCTCAGGGCATCGGAACATCTCAGGGCATTGGAACATCTCAGTGCCCAGGACCTGAGCAGCTCAGGGCATTGGAACATCTCAGTGCCCAGGACCTGAACAGCTCAGGGCATCAGAACATCCCAGTGCCCTTCGTTAGATGATTTATCTCTCAAATTATTACAAAACACCTTACAGACGACAAATACTGGTACGGACAGGCTGAACAAGGGAGCAACCCTTTAGCGCTACAGGTAGCCACCAGAACTGTACATCAACCTGGATGGGCAGCAGTTTATTTATTTATTTTTTTAAATAAAGATTGCCTGTAACAACCTGCAAACTTTCTTTGTAGTTAGCAAAGAAGAATTTTTCTCTTGTAACGCTAGCCCAGATGAGATTTCAAATGCAAGACCATTTTTAAAATTAAACCTACGCGGTCAATGGGTTAAGAAGCAGTTGAAACTGTAAACAAAGTCCTTCTCCTGAGCACGAGCGTGGAGAACTTTGCTTTACATTTCATCACAGATTAAGTAACTAAACCTCATGAAAAGATGCAAGGAAGAGATAGGCAAATGAGGGGACCTGGGTATTACCAAATACCTGATAAAGCACAGCGAAACCAAGCCTCTGTGCCCTGGGCAAAGGTGAGGCCGCAGGTCACCGAAAGCTCTTTTTTATGGCCCCACGAGCAGCTGGTTTGCGCGCTGACCCTCCAAACCGCCCGGTCACCTCTCTGCTTTGGCCAGGTTTGCTGTTCTGTGAGCAGGCAGAAAGCAAGCACTTCTTCCAGCTCAAAAACCAAAGCAAAGCAAACCACACCTCGATACACGTAAAGACGTCTGTGGGCTTGGGAGAGCCAGGCTAGGCTACAAGTGCCCTGGAAGACTTCCCGGGAATGTCGTCACCACGTTCAGAATGGGGCTGGTGTCACCAGTAGAACCATAGAATCATGGAATTGTTTGGTTGGAAAAGCCCTTTGACGTCATTGATCCCAACCGCCCCCCTACCCCTGCCATCCCACCCCAAACCCTGGCCCTCAGCACCGCCTCTGCCCAGCTTTTAAATCCCCCCAGGGGTGGGGACTCGACCCCTTTGTAGGCAGCGATGAGGGCTCCCCTCAGCCTCCTCTGCTCCAGGCTGAACCCCCCCAGCTCCCCCAGCCGCTCCCCAGCAGCCTGGGGCTCCAGACCCCTCCCCAGCTCCGCTGCCCTTCTCTGGACACGCTCCATCTTGCTTGTAATGAGGGGCCCAACCCTGACCCCAACATTTGAGGGGTGGCCTCCCCAGTGCCCAGCACAGGGGCACGGTCACTGCCCTGCTCCTGCTGGCCACACCACTCCTGATACAAGCCAGGATGCCGTTGGCCTTCTTGGCCAGTACCAGTGTATTTTACGTTTTTATCAAATAAAACATACCCTTCGATGCCTCAGGTAAACCTCAGACCTGAAAACTGAGACACAGGCATGCACACAGCCCCTGACCTGCAACGGGATCGTGGTTCCACCGAACTTCCCAACCCCAACGCCCGCACGAGGCATCTCCCCCGCTGCCAGACCCATTTGCCCCGGCTGAGCACGACGTCGCCCATCCGGGCACATCTCTGCCTGTTCAAAGGTGTTCGCCAAAATGCCAGGGATGTGAAAGCCTGGCAGTGAACCCTCCTGCTTCTAAAAGGAAATAAATGGGTGAAACCAGCACGGGGGTGACGTAACATGCTCTGATAAAAGGGGTGAGACGATGAAACGCCTTTAGGAGACTTCTCCAGCAGTGCTTCATCTATTCCAGGCATGCGATGGCACATTGGAGTACCGACCGTTTGATTAAATGTCGTGAAGTGCTACAAAAATCACATTGACCCAAGACTATCGGGAGTCACCTGCAAGGTCTAAGGGGGGAGAAGTTAAGCTTTGATCTGTGATGGACAGAAGCTTTAGCCCAAGCTTTACTCTTCTCTCCAAGGCAGCACCGTACCAAAGCCTGGCTCCCAGGGAAGCTCCTCCCAGGCATTTTCTGCAGGGCCGGTGCCCAGAGCCGT